GTTCCCTTGGACCATGGCAGGCGGAAATGTGAAAGCATTTCAGGGTTTCTCACCCATTACACCGATATTTATCAGAAGTCTACTTTAAATGAGTCGATTACGTGTCGTGAGCCCTCTCCTTATCTTGAGTATTGGAGAAAAAATGGAGTGGCCCCCCCCCGAACTGGAGTTTCACCTCTTTTTTAATAGGCTCCTATGAGCGAAAACACCAAGAGAAACGCAAACAGAAAGTAAGACACAACAGACAAAAGAACTGATCTTGCTCCAGTGGACGTGGCTACACTTTCGAGCAAAAAATGTCTCAGTTTTCGAGAGAATTTCTTTTCACAAACAAGGTTTCTTTATTCTCCATTGAAGAATGACCTCGGAAGATCTTCAACACATTCCAAACAATATTCCATTGAAAGTTAAATATGAAAAAGAAAGAGTAAATTCTCGAGCACTGTTTGTTTAAATTGAATTCTTTCCTCGTAATGCTACGTTTGACTGATCATAACTGACTAAAAAGCATAGAAGAATGCCCGGAGCTCTGCTTTGCTCAATATCCTGCAGGATTCCAGGAGAATTGTCAACCGTTATATGGTTTCGAACACTTCTACCTGAAGCTTCCTGTTCCTTCTTGATTCCCTTTTTTAAAGTCCGACAGCTGATTCCCTTTTGTATCAATCTCAATGAAAACGTGATACCTGTAGACCTGATTCATAAAGCGGAATTGAAATGGAACGAAAAACTTGAGGCGGCAGCATCATTTTGAAATATGGGAAAATCGACACCTTTTCCAAACACACCCCGTTGCGTTTTCAACCGGGAATATTGTGTTGCTACTCTGACTGACGATCAAAGCTGTCACATTTTCTTATTGGGCCGTTTATCGAAAGCTTTGATGAACTTAGAGTTTGAAAACGATTTCTAGGTGGCTGCAACCATTATAAAACGCAGTTCAGTCTGATGAGATTTTAACACAGTCAAGCTATAGGTCTTTAGTTTCCTTCGATTTTTTTTCTCTTTTAAATACGTCTTGGAGCCCCCAACTGTTTTACACATCAGATCTTCTGTGAGGCAACGGAGTG